ATCAATTAATGCTCAGATAATAGACTCAAGATAATAGAATTTATAAAATGAAATGAAAGAGACTGCGCATAACTTAATTATCCATGAACACCACCAAAGTCCACATAGACAAAGGTAAAGTAAATGTAAACCATTTTAATCTTCAGAAGAACTCGCCAGTTCACACAAGGGCCTCACACTATAATAATACCTCATTGTATTTACACCAGTCACAGCTCAAAATCTCTGCCTGATGTGCTGGAATCACAATTCGGACTCCTGCTGTCTTCATGTCCCAAATTCTCAGAGTCTGGTCACCTGGTTAAAAAAAAAAAGACAAAGATGACTCAATCACTTCCCATCACACCACTTGGATGCTCAGTGACATACATGTGCTCATGATGATAAATCAAGTAAAAATCCACGCCTTTCATTCCTAGGACACCATTATCTAAACAGATCTTTAAAACGCCAGTAAGTGTAAAAACTACTAGAAGTGATGAACTACAAAATAAAGTTCTACATCTATTCCAAGCAGGAAGTTTTGAACCTCACACTGTGACAAGCACAATGGTGACTGAGCACATACCCAGTGCATTTTTCTTCAAGAGATAAAGGCTCTGAAAAGTCTCACCTCTAGCACTCACTCAATAAAGTGAGAGCACCAGTGTATCCCATGAGACACATGATGATAATTTTCTCGTTAAATGTGGGTAAAGTCTAGCAGGTCAAAATGGAGACATTTTTATTTACACTGAATTTTATCAGGCCAGACAGAGGGATATTTTCCTCTGTGGAAAAAACAAGTTGATTATATGCTGATTTATTACAAAAATCACTTACATTGCTTTGCTACACAAAGTCACCCCTCATTAAATGCTTTAAATGTTGTTTGCCCTCCCTTTTTCTAAACTATGAGGAAACAACAAAACAACAGGAATAAAAACATTTTAAAAGATGAAAAAAAAAAAAAGGAAATATCTGTAGCTTGATGGCAGTCGGGGTCTTGTGTGACCTTGTGTAAGTTATGAACTATCTCTGGGACTGATTCTTTGTTTCTAACAAAGAAATCAAATACCTACCATGCAGGGTTGTCTTAAGAACTAGAAGTAATGAAGTTTCAGTGAAGTACCTAGCACGGTCTCTGGCACATAGGAGACACTTCAATATATGGTATCAGCTGCTACAGTCTGAAATTGACCAAACATGCAATCAGGATGTGTTAATTATCACTGGTGACTGGAATGCAAAAGTTGGAAACAAA